CTGTTCATTATTAAGAGGAGTTATGCACGGCTTATTTTATCTTCAATAAGTCTATTACATGTACATGTTTTATGGTTTGCCAGGGGTTGATTTGGGTCTTGTATAAATGTCTTCAGAATTACAAGAAATTTACGAAAGTCGTCATTTTAACTTTTATACGTGGATAATTCTGGACTCCCATGGATTTGAAGGCTCAAATTTTTACAGTGAGCTGTGAACACCAATACTGTTCTGGGACTAAGATACGATTGGTTCAAAGAATGGCAAAATCGAGAGTAAAAATTGTATAGTAGTGGACTTCTCCAAAGAGAAGTACCATCAGTGGTTCCGAAAAGAGTAAGCATGATCTGCTACGCGTGTCCCCCGCCAATACTACAACGGTAAAATCACAACCAGATCAATTCTTGCACAAACAAATCTGTCAATATGCAAGAAGCAGATTTACGGTATTTATCAAGGAGGACTCCATAACGACCATGAAATTTCCAACATATCATCCAACCAAATTCAATAAATATGATAAAATAAAAGTCAACATTTTAACTACATTGTATATTTGTTGATAGCGTCTGAGTGGTTTTTGACAAATAGGTGGAGTGATAATTAACAACAATGTATTTATATCTTCTGGTTTTACTTAGGAAGGCCTGGTACAATGTCATTCGATCTGGATTTTAATTTTGAATGAGGAGTGGCTGTGTAAAGAGTAGAGACATCATTATTTTTAATAGATTGAATTGATGAAAGTGACTGATCTTGTAAATATTGTGGTTGGAGAGGATTTCTTCACCGTTACTAAGCGTTGTATGATTATAAGTAGGTTTACAAGATTACAACATAGAATTAAAAGTACTAACAGTGGAACACTGACTTTTGTGGCGGTCAATTTGCTCAGTTGCAGTGACGAATTAAGGGAGGGGGCGGGAGTGTTGTTGCATGAAAAATTTTTATTCCAATTTCACTGTCAAAATTGCGTTAGATGCATTCACCGCCTTCCTAGATTAGAAAATCTATCTCGGATGGCCCCCATCAATAAAATCCTGGCTACGACGCTGTTCATTTGGTAGAGATTCTGCCAGTCGATAAGCTGCCGAGGGTTCGAATCCTCCTAGAGTTTCGATATTTGATCCACTGTCGGCTTTTTCTGAAAAAAATACGGGGTTTATAATATTTGTCAGAATGTACCAAATCAAATCTATTTTTCATAATTTGCCTAGATGAGAACCCTCTAATATTCTTCATAAGAGATTTTCGAAGCACCCTTCCTCAAAATGAAACTCAACCCTGCAGATAATCTGAAATCAATTGAAAAACATAGGCTGAGGGAAATACTTTTAGAACCTACAGAAAAAAACTCGAATGAATCGGATCAACTCCCATTAAATGTGACCATGTATGGGTCTGGCCCTAACCGTGACGATATCATATCCCTATGTCACGTTCGAAGAGCACCATGAGGTCAGATTTGTCCGGCTATTTACATTTATGATTTGTTCAATACAGATATTATTTTTCCCAAAAAATCTCGAAAGATCAAATTATAACGGCTGGTCAAAGTTTGTCGGCATTTTGTATATTTTATGATCCTTGTACAGTATGAATACTAAAATCTTATTTATTTAAATTATATTATGTACAAGGAAATTTTAACATGTGAAATGTGAATAGAGCAAAAAAAAACCATAGTTTCGTAAACGATCACGAGGATGAAATCTTTCCTTATATTATGACTCCTTTTATTCTATTTTAGTTTCGATTTACGCGAAGTTTTGTCAAAACGTTGATCTTAAATAAGGAACAGAAATCTCTACTACAAACTACTTGATCTACAATGTTGGCGGACATGCTTCTCACAAAATTTGTTATAGGGTGTTGTTTTCGGTTGTGTTTTTCGGCGTGCTTTGATCAAGAGGGATTTATCAAACTAGCGGAAAATCCGTGTGTGTGGGATGGAAGTACTTATTTGTGTTTGTGTTCAAAAACGTCTAAAGGGCCTCGAACGAATTGTTCTGGACAGAATCTGAAATATATACCAAAAATACCTAAAAATACAACTGTGCTGTTATTTGATAACAATGATTTACCATCACTGACTTCTGATATGTTAGTGAATATATCACACACAAGATTAAGATATTTGGAAATTAAATTAAGTAATTTGTCTTATATTGAAGAGGGACTTTTCCGTGTTTTCAAGACATTAGAGATTTTGGATTTAAGCCATAACCCATTGACATACAATGTTTTATTGAAATCATTCAGTGGTATTTCTAAATCAGTGAAATCACTCAGTTTGAACAATGTTTCTTTACCGGAATTTTCAGATAAACTGTTTCTACCTTTCAAAGACTCTAATTTAAAATTCATTCAGCTGAATTTTAATCATATCAGAAGTTTTAATGCTAACCGTCTATTCGAATACTTGCCCAAACTGGAAACTTTAGATCTATCCTTAAACTATCTGAAATTGGCAAATTTTAGTGTATCTAAATCGCTTTCGTATCTCCATTTATCCTACAATGACTTAACAACATTTCCAGAGTTTTGTAAGAATAAAACCTCACCTTATTTTCCATCGTTGAAGGGCCTATTTTTGGACCGAAACTGCTTGAGCACCTTACAAATGGAGAAAGTGAATTGTTTAGAAAATTTAAAGATTTTCAACGTTTCAGAAACCAGAATTAATACATTACATACAGATATTTTCAAAAATCTGAAATCGATTGAAAGAATTGCCTTGGACAATATTGCAAGTTTTGTCTCCATTCAACCATTTGCGTTCAGGAGTAAAACCCTACAGAGAATTTACATAAAAGGAAATTATTTAGAATTTAAGACCAAAGATGTCAACATCCAACACGTATTTGGTGGTTGCCCACAGCTTACACATTTGGACATATCGGAAAATTATGTTGGGAGGCTGAAAACTCAAGAATGGGCAATAATGTTTAGTGACATTCCCAACTTGAAATATATGAATGTCAGTAATTCTGGATTGTTGTATATACCTAAATCCTGGCCAATTGTAATACCTCATTTGGTTGGTTTAGACGTTGGTAATAATGGCATTCCACATATTCCTAAAGATTATTTTGTACCGTTCAAAAACATGAAATATTTGTCCATGAACCGTAATCAATTCACTGCATTTCAAGAATATGAACTGCCCAAGAATTTAATATTTTTGAACTTGATTCAGAATCCGTATATTTGTGATTGTGATTTGCTGTGGTTTATTGAGTTGTCAAAAAGAATCATTCTATTTTGAAATCCTATCCTTATGAATATACATGTCGCGGCACTAATAAAACTATAATTTCATTTAGATTACGAAAAGAGGCGTGTTCTTTAACTCGTGAAATTAGTGTAGCTATAGAAACAACTTGTTTTCTCATAATAATTTTACTCTTTGGTTTAGCTCTAGTATATCGCTATCGTTGGAGATTACGATACGTCATCTATTTATTTACTTATCATAAAAGACAAATAAACGTGATATGTGAATCTGACTATCAACACGATATATTTGTAAGCTGTGCTCGAGAACAGTATGATGTGGTTTTGGAATCGATTGTGAAGAGACTAGAAGAACAAGAATCTTTCAAAGTGTTTATTACTGAAAGAAATGTTCAAGCGAACGAATGTAAAATGGGTACAACGTTAGCCAACTTAGACAAAAGTCGATTTTTTATGATATGTTTGTCGAATAATTTTTGTGAAGATCAGTGGTGTGAGTTTGAAACCAATATGGCTATGCAGAAAACTCTGTATGAAAACGCTGGTAATGTGATAGTCGTATTACTGGAAGACATTTCTATTGAAAATATGAATAAACAATTATGGTGGTTGGTGAGAAATGAAGAGTATCTTCTTTGGGATGAAAATGAAGATACGAGTGAATTATTTTGGATAAAATTGAGATCAAGACTTAATTCTATTAACAGCAATGGTCAAAATATCCCCATGTCAAATCTAAGCTGATGAGGATACCAACCGCCAAACCGCCACAACCGGAAGTAATAAATTGGTAATTGGTCAGGTTTCAGGAAAGTCTAAAAAGGAAAAACGCGTAAGATGTAAAGAATCTCAACCATTGTTACCAAAATCATCTCATGGTTTACCTTGGAAAGATCCTACATCTGATAGTTTAGCTAGTTAACAAGCAAGGGCCGTCAATGACAACATCTAGTGGGACTAATTATATTCCAAAATCATCTTCTAGTACTGGCCAAATGTGGAAATACTCTCAAAATATAGAATATGAAATACGTCAGCACCATACAGAGAAGGGCAGAATCCATTCCTTATCAGACAAACTTGAAAACCTAAACGAGTATATAGCATTAATTCCTTACAAAAATACCTGCTGTTTCGATTGCAACGCAGATGACGGTGCAGAGGGTTTTTTTTTGTTTTTTTTTTGTTATGTTATTATAGTGATAACCTCTCATTATCAGGGATACAATTCGTGGTGACTCGATTTGGCAATACACACTGGAACATTGCTTAATACGGCTTGATCTTGGTTGTACAGAAGAAAAGGTATGAAATAAAATTGAATTAGATAATGTTATACTT